AGTTATTTAACGAAAGATATTACAGATTCTTTGAAATGTAACAGTGTTGGTGAAGTGAAATTAGTTCATAAATTATTCGGAGGTGTAGAAACAAAAGAAAAATTGCATTCTAAATATATAGTTAATTTGAGTAGCCTTGATAATAAATATGTATGTAGTGTGCATTGTTTAAGTGAATCTGTTATCTGTTCTGATGTTAAGAAAATACCTAAAGGTCCTTGGTTGAAAGAACTTCGTAAATTAAATATTCAAGTGTCAGATGTAGAGGGTAATGCTCTCGAAAACGAAAGTGACATTAAATTGTTGATAGGTTCTGATATTGCTGGAAAATTATTCACCGGAAATATTAAATGTTTACAAAGTGGTCCGGTCGCGATGGAAACAAGTTTGGGATGGATTTTAATGGGTAAAATTCCAGCGAAGGAATCTTCGGGTATAAATGATTCTCTTGCATGTGTTTCTTTATTGCTAAACGAAAGATCAGCAGAAAACTTGTGGAAGTTAGACGTTATTGGTATAAATGACCCAGTTGAGTCTAAAAAGAAAGCTGAAATTCATGAGGAGACCATGCAATATTTTGAGGAAAATTTGAATTTGGATTCAGACGGGAGATATGAAACTGCATTACCTTGGGTACTGGACCCCTCTCGCTTGTCTAATAATAAAACGTTGGCAGAAAAACGCCTGACTAATACGCGAAGGAAATTATTAGATTCGAATCAAATTAAAGTTTATCAGGAAGTATTTGATAAACTTGGTTGAAGGAACGAATTATTGAAGAGGTAAATGAAGGCGAAGTAGATAGAGAGCACTATTTGCCTCATAGGCCGGTTTTTTAAAGAATCTAGCGAAACTACGCGAGTAAGGCCAGTTTTTGATGCTTCGGCACACGCCAAAGGAGAACTTTCCTTAAATGATTGTCTTGAGAAAGGTCCCAACCTAATAGAAATAATTCCAACATTGTTGAATCGTTTTCGGAAATATCCTCTTGCAGTAATTTCAGACATTGAGAAAGCTTCTTGCAGATTGGTATAAGAGAGAAGGATAGAGATTATTTGCGTTTCTTTTGGAAAGGTGCAGAAGAAGAGAATACTAAAATTTACAGACATTGTCGCGTGGTTTTTGGGCTTAACTGTAGTCCATTTTTGTTAGCCGCTACGTTGAACTATCATTTAAATCGTGCCCCAGATCAGTTTGCAGTTACAGCCAACATTTTGAAGGAGTCCTTCTATGTTGATAATTGCCTGACTAGTTTTAAGAATGTTGAAGAATTGAATAGATTTGTACTAGAATCGAGAATGTTATTGTCACTGGGAAAGTTTAATCTTAGAGGATGGCAGTCGAATTGTGAAACCGAAATAAATTCCCAAACTCTAAATTAGATACATTCGTTTGCGTTTTAGGGTTAAATTGGGATTTGAAGGATGATACTCTTTCCTGTAAAATTGAGTCACTAAAGAAAGAGGAGATTGTCGCGAGTAAACGAACACTCCTTTCTTGCGCGCATAAGTTATTTGACCCAGTAGGCTTCCTTTCTCCCGTTACCCTGTTCCCAAAGGTGATATTGCAAGAGTGTTGGAAATTACGATTAAATTGGGATCAAAAATTGCCAGAACATTTAGAAAAGAAGTCCATACAATGGGTAAAGGAAATGAAACTGCTGTCTGATGTCAAAATTCCTAGATGGCTTAATATTGACAGATCGGTTAACGAAGATGTAAGTCTTCATGTTTTCAGCGATGCCAGCAAGCATGCCTATGCTACCTGTATTTTCTTAAGAGTGAAGACCGAAAATAAGGTTTATTTAAATTTTGTGCAAGCACGCACTAGAGTTAAGCCTTTAAAGAGTATATCCATTCCTCGTTTGGAATTATTATCCTGCTTAATCGGAGCACGCTTGGGACGTATGGTCTTTTCAGATTTGAACATGCCAAATTTAAGAACATTCTTCTGGACTGACTCAACAACCGCTTTGTGCTGGATCCAGCGAGACGTACGGTGGGGAACTTTCGTTTGGAATCGTGTCCAAGAAATCAGAACACTTACAAAAATAGAAGATTGGCATTACATCCCTTCGGAGCTGAATGCCGCCGATCTCCCTTCTAGAGGCTGTTCAGTTAAACAGTTTTTGCTGTCGAAATGGTGGGAGGGCCCATCATGGCTGAATCGTCATGGTCAAGAGGCACCGATTTGCCGGACGAAGAGATCATAAATTCAGAAAAAGGCGTAAATCAGTATTGACAACTCTTAACAAAGATTCTAACCCTGACAACTGGTATTGCAGGTACTTTCCATCCATAAAGAAAATTGTACGCATGTTAGGTTGGATTCTTAGGTTTTACTTTAAATTACGAAGAATTACAAACGAAACCTCCAAAATTTTGTCAGTTTCGGAAATTGAAAGAGCTGAGATAACTCTTATGTTATTGGTTCAAAGAGAATCATTTAAGGGTGTGTACAATGACAAAAATAAAGACGTCAGATCTATAGTTGATCGTGATGGTTTGATCAGAGCTAAAACCAACATTTCTTATCGCTATGATACTGATGACTTTAAGTTTCCCGTCATTTTGCCATGTGATCATGCAGTAGTGAAATTACTGATAATGAATTCACATAATAAGCTGCTGCATGCTGGTACTTCTATGGTGATGTCTCATTTGCAAGAAAAGTATTGGATCCTCAAGATTTGTTATAAATTATCTAAAGACATTTTTTCCTGATAAATCATAACTAAGGCTATATATATATGGCATTTAAAAAGAAAAGGGCAACATACAGTATTTCTTTAAATATGGATCTTAACGTGAATGCCCAATTATTACGTTGCATTAGCTAAAGTAGGCAAAACACCAAAGAGAGAAGTGGATTTCATTTTCAAATCATCATTTATCATCATCAAACCGTCAGCATTCATGATATTGCCTTTTGACATCAGGCTCTCAGCATTCAAGCATTTTTAACCACAACTCCTGCTTGTATTTTGTTAGCTAGCTTTGTGTGATCATTTTCAGTATCTCAAAATCAAAGCATCACTGTATGATACAGTCAAAAGTCTTTAATCCGCACGTCCATAATCCGGAATGATCTATAATCCGGACCTCAAAGCTACAAACTTTCTGCGCATGCGTTACGCATAATGCGCTTATACATGCGCATATGCGCTTACACATGCACGTTTAATGTACAATGGATGGTATAAGCTAAGCTAAAATTATCTAATTATCTATTTCAGTTAATGTTACAGATTGCATTGTTCCTTAATCTTCTAATTGGATCTGGCTTATTATTTTTTGCAAACTGTTAGAGCAATTTTATAGAAGTAAGCTTGAACTTTCGATTATGTCACAAAGAATTTCTAATTCTGGAGCTGCTAAAGGATCTACAAAGCGAAAGCATGTTTCAATGTCCATTAAACAAAAATTAAATTTGCTGAAAAAAATGGATAAAGGCATGAAGAAAGTGACAGAGACGTGATTTGTTTCTTTAACCATTCTGAAATCTGTTTATCAGTTTCACAATGCTCTGCGGGGAAGGGGACGTCGCGGCGCGCAAAGTTCATCTGTCAGCACTATCCTTATCTTCAAGGCAGATGTTTTTATTTTATTCGGCTTATAATTCCTTACTAAATGTAGTATTTCATCCCAATGTACTCCTCTTTGATATGATTTAAATCAAATTTCTCACCATTATAAATTTCACGAATACACATCAAATAGTTTTCTGGTTGTAATTTTCTAATTTCGACTATGTGTAATGTATGCTTTACGCAAGCGCTCACTGAAAGAAATGTTTAATAAAGTAAACAGATAAATATTAAGCTTTTTTTTTTTTGTAAATTTTGATATCCTTTAGATCATAACTGCTCTTTATTTCATAAATTATGGTTTCATATTTTTAATTTTATAATTTCTGCATGCCATCTTAACAGATTTAAACTCATGACCTATAATCTGGAAAAACCGATAATCTGGAATCGCCGAAGTTCCGATGAGTCTGGATTAAAGACTTTTGACTGTACTACTTTATGTATTTACCAATCAGAAGGTAGCAAGAGTTTTACACAGCATTCCTTTAATTGCTTGTCAGCACTCATTACATTCAGTTTACAGTTTATGATGGTGCAAAACAAAATACTAATTCTACATAAAGTTACTCCAAACCAGTTAAGGTTGGTAATTTGATCCAGCAATTTATTAATTTAATCCAGTATCAATCTCTTTTCTCACACTGCTGCCCAATGGTATCAACAAAGCCACCAATCAACTCAATACCTAAAATTTTGATGCAGATTTTGCAGACTCTAACATATATTTTGATGATTGCTCATAATGTTTTAATCCAAGTGCACATGCCCAGAATATACAGGATTGTACACGCACAGGATTCAATTTAACCTTCCAGCATGCACGCTTGGCAATTTTACATGAGCACGTGCGCATCGTATTTTTTACGACATCCGTTATTTTACAGTTCTTATGTTAGTGAGATGAAAACGCAATGCAAAACTGAATCTGTCGTAAATTTTGCGCATACATGCATGCTGGAAGGTTAAGGAAAAACCTTATTGATTAAGCTTTTGTAAGAGCATAAAATTTACCTTGAGACTAATTTCAATGGCAGTTTCATTACCTGCAATACTTTTGAAGCGTTTTTAAAACACAAGATTTTCACTTTTTCAGAAAACTTCCCTATCATTCATCCCTTTCCTCTCCATTCATTTTCCCCCTTGTAATAATGTTATAATTATTATATATATATATATATATTGCATTTACTCACACACTTTGTCTCATTTTATACTGATTTTATCATACAAAAACTGATAGGAGAAACATTATGTGAGTAATTTAATTTCTGAAAATAAGCCAAATTAAAATCAGCTAATGTACTCTAGTGTCATGTTTCACTCAAAGAAAATGCAACAAACTGAACAAATAATAACAGCTGTAAAATAGAAAAATTCAAATACAAATAAAAAATATGAAATATCTTTCTACCTCATGAACATGATCGCCTGTTGCAGCAGCATTAATCAACTGAAAATAGTGCCTTTGTGAAATTGTTACTCCATTATTCTTAGCCCTTATTAATACTGATTTCATTTCATCGATATCTCCTTTACTAGCATACCCACAAGCTATGGCAGTATACGAGTCTGCTGTAGGTGATAAATTTGAAGCTCTGAAATAAAAATTATTTATAATTATGCATGTGTACATGTGTTGTAAAATTAAAACAATTTCAGTATAAACTTGTTCAGAAGAGAAAATTACATCTATACTACATTGCAAAATGATCAGATAAATAAAAAATGAAATTGAACAATGCAGTATAATAACAAAGGATATAAATAGAATAAACAAAAGGATCCTAAGGTAATACCTATTTAATCAAAGCTGAATTATTTATACAGCATTCATTTCACTGTCATTGGTTGCATACATTATGTAACAAAAATGTTTTAAATGCCACAAATATTCATGTTATGGTATTTTTAAATTTCAAAAATTTAATTTGTAAAAATTCTGAAATGCATTTTTTTTTAGTCTTCTGATCCTTATATTTAGTCAGATAGTATATTTATATAATAAAAAATAAAACACAAAAACCATGTCTTCTGTATAATAAAAACTGGTCAAGATATTTAATTGCAAAATTTAGGATTTTTGCAAACATTTTTGGCTTTCTGTCCATTATTCTTAATTAAAAATGGCTGCACTCTATCATTTTATCCAAATTTTCAGTTATCAAAGGTAATATGAGTTCATGCTGTCTAGGATAATCGAGTTCAATTATATTCTGAATACACTTTTGCGCAAGTTTTTATACAAATGAGAAAAAAATTTAAGTACATAATACCTCATGACATCAAGAATATTCATGGCTCCAGAAAAGTCCCTGAAAAATGTCAACAATTATGTCAAAAAATACTTTAAAAGTGCTGCAGTAAGTAAAATATTCAGCATGACTAATTTTTTATTTGATTAAATATTTCCTGTATTGTCAGTTTCAACTAAGATTATTCTGCTTTTATATTAAGGATATGATTTCAGTATAAACTTGCTCAGAAGAGAAAATTAAATCTATACTACATTGTAAAATGATTGTATAAATAAAAAAATGATATTGAACAAAGCATTATAATAATAACAAAGGATATAAAAAGAATAAACAAAAGAATCCTAAGGTAATACCTACTATTTAATCAAAGCTGAATTATTTATACAGCATGTCATATACAGCATTTATTTCACTGTCACTGGCTGCATAGATTAAGTTAAAAAATATTTTAAATGCCACAAATATTCATGTTATGGTACTTTTTAAATTTTAAAAATGTCAACAATCATGCGAAAAAATACTTAAAAAATGCTGCAGTATGTAAAGTATTCAGCATGACTATTTTTTATTTGATTAAATATTTCCTGTATTGTCAGTTTCAAATAAGATTATTCTGTTTTTATATTAAGGATATAACTAAGGTTACTCATTCCAAACAATATATATAAATCTACTAGGTTCTTTTAAATTTGCTGCGCATACACAAAAATGACAACAAAAATATAAAAGCATTATTATTTCAAGCACAATTCAAATTACCAAGGTGGTAAACATATACTACAATAAACATACATTCAATATCATCAAAAACATTCGATAGAATATTTTAATAGACACACTCGTTTATACTCATGCAAATGTAATTCACATACAATTAAATAAAAGCCCACCGATATGTATTTTTTTAAATACAGATTTTTAGATTAATAGTGTTAAGACAAAATATAAGATAATGCTTACTGCGTTTTTACATGGCCCTTTATAAGTGAATTAAATACTGCTTCATTTACTGGAAGCTTCTTTTCTTTCATGAACTCCAATATTTCACTAGAAAAATATACTACTAATAAGTAAATTCAGATTAGTTGGTATATAAATACAATTTATGGCATTTGCATAACAATGATTCATACAAAATTGTTCTTGGTTAATATTAAAGTCAACTCCTGTTTTGCCAGGGTAATACGGTGGAGGATACGCATGGTTAACTCAAAATCACAGTTAATCCAGAGCCAGTAAAAAAATGACAAACTAAACTATTTGTATATATTATAGTGCTAAGAAAAATGCTACAAGGCAATTTCCCTGTACAGTATTTTCAGGAACTGTAGTTTAATAAAGTTCCAAATCAATTTCATCAACAAACAAAAATTACAGCACAGTAAAATATGCAAAAAAATACTTTATAATTCTGACTATTCAACACACTTCCATTTTCTTTCTGGCATTTTGCAAGCAATACTGATTACAATAATTCACAACCACTTGTCAATGAAAAAGTAAAATCTAAGCTTTTCCTGGAAGCGTCTGAGCGAGTTCTAATAATAGGAATTTCTGTTACAGCGAAAGTACAAAAACTAGTCACTAACAGAACTTCTTCAATAACTGTATCACCAAGTTAAGTGTGCATCTATTATCAGCTGTAAGGAGAGCTAAGTAAGGAGGGGGACAAGACATAAGAAGGGATTTGTAACTGCAGTCATTTTGTTAAAAACGTATTGGAAAGCAGATAGGCAGAAGAAGGAATAAGCATGAAAAATCATCAACTAGTCTCATACACTATTATATACTAGTACTATTTCTCATTGTGGTGTCTGCTCTCTCTCACTGGTGTATCTACTGGCGATTCTTGCAATATTTCCACTAGAGCACCTTTTTTTTTTTTTTTTTTTTTAGTTGGGCCCTAGTTAAGCCACAACCTTGTTAATCCACTCCCAGTAAATTGGAAGCTGACTGTATTTAATCTGATTAAATAGAAAATTCATACACAAGATATTGCACACTTATTATAAATATACAGTGATATAATTATATACAAATGTGACCATATAGTACAAAGGCCTCCAATAACCAAAATGATCTACTATCTGGACCTCTCATATTTTTTTTTTTTTTTTAATTATCCCCTTTTGAATCATCCTGCATATTGTTTCAGTTTCAAACACATGCCGGCTAGTAAAACAGATTTTAATTTTCAATTCTAGAATGTATTGCTGGGGGTAGGATTTCTGTACACAATAAGTGAACTCCAAAGACCAATGTTTGCTCGGAATGGAATGTTGTACATACTGATTCAGTTCTGATGACGTAGCAGGGAAGAAGGCTGTCTTGGCAATGTCCGACTCCCAATTATATGACATTTTGTATAACTCTTTTCTTGTTTATTTATTAAATGATTTCTGTTGGTCAAGCAGATTATCTTTGAAATAATGTGATGTTATATTAATAGAATGTAATAGTTTCTAACATTGCTTATGTGATGCAAACAAATTAAGTGCATTTTCATTAACATTATAAGTACATTTAATTACTGTAACATTCTTATTACAATACACATTTATGCAAATGAACATTAACATATTTTCTAGTTCTGTTCAAAGACTTTTAATGGTATTCAAATTTACAATGTTTGTCTCTTTCTCATTGTGGTACTGTTTCTTGCAACCTGCATAATGAATTTGATGACAAGTTTTGTTCCTTTAATGGAAATTCCAATTTACCGCATTCTTCCTGTCATTAATAAAGTGGCTGAAGAAAACCAAGTAGCCACTATTGATTACCACTCATTTCTAGCCATCAGCACGCTTGTCTAAAGGTTTATGGATAGACCCTATTATAATCTAAACTCTCAGCTGAGTCTGATTCTCAGTTCAGAGATTTTTAGTTTATTTCCATGCTTACAATTGCTGGATTGTGTTGTCTGTGCAAGTAAAAAAATGTCAAATGAGAAGAAAAGAAGGAAAAGAAACTTATATTAATAGTGTTATTTACTACTAATCCCAATAACTCTATAACATAAAACTCTATTAACAGTTCTTCACCAATGAATCTGTTCTGCAAACTCTCTACTGCTTTAAAATAATTCTCGGCAGTGGGGGATAACTATCAATTATTTCTTTGGCCCTTGTTCCATACACTGAATCAAATATTGGAATTTATCCTCCGACTAAATATATTTATCCTTGTAAATTCAGCTGAATTGGCTTCAGAAGGACAACCAATCTTTAACATCTCCGCCAAATTTCATCAGTCTTGGAAAGTTTGAGTTTCAGTTTCTCAACATTTGAAATTACAGATTCCTGATAAGAAATTACATTTTGTAAAACAGAATTTGCACATACTCTTGCATCATCATATTTTTCATTACACTGTTCAACTGTTTCATACTCATTATTATGCATCACTTTTTGTTTCATCGGCTAGCAAAGATTCGAAAATTCACTCATCAATTTCACTTAAATTAGTTTTTATTCTTTTCAATGAAGTGAGTTTAACTTAAATATCCAATTTTTTAACTGTTCCCTCTTCAAAAAAAGTTACTAAATTATTATACATTTTAGTAAATGATGCCCTTAATGGCATGAAAATGCATGCCTTTGAAAAAGAAAATATTAATGAAATTGGCATGGATTTAGGTGTTAGATGAAATATTATGAGGTGTAAGTAACTCCATTTCTTCCATGTAATGCAACATTTTCACTAATTCATAACATTTTCAGTCTACTTAGGTTAAATTTGCAAGACTCTATTGTAATATGGTTTTAAATCCAGAAAATATTACGACCAGTTGTGAAGAAAGTGGTAAAGAGGTTATTCAGAGTGAAAAGATGTCAACTGATTATTTAATGGGAATTCTTGACTCAACACATAATGGGCATTAATTATCAGCACTTGAATTAAACAATTATGGTCACTTAAACTATGAAATTTTATAACTAAACAAAAAAATATCTTTCTATAAAATTAAAGAGAAAGTATTAATAGTTTCATGAGTTATTAACTTAACATTGGAAAACAAAACTTAATGAAGCAAAACAAATATTAATATTAAGTTTTTTTTTTTTTTTTTTTTTTTTTTTTTTGAAGGGAGTAAAATTTTAAAAAAAATCACAAATGCTTTATTATTTCACTGATAAGCTTCCATATTTTTAGGTTTATGATGCTTTCATGTAACCTAACTAGATTTAAATCGATCTAAAATTTGAAAATTTCCAAAATCTGGAATTGCCAAAGTCCTGATAATTCCAGATCTCAGACTTTGTACTGTACAAAATAAATTTAAAAATTTCAAGTGATTTTCAGAATCCAGATGTATAAGAAGATATAAATATGTTCATGTTGTATAAGACGACATAAAAATTGTGCTAATCATTTTAAAACAATACTTACAAATTACAATTCAATTTAAACAACTAATTAAAATATGATTTATAATCTAAGCAAAATGCTATTGTCTAATCACGTATAATGAAACCTCATTGAGACTTTCCCAAAGTACTCATATGCATCCAAGAGGGTTGGCAAGTTAAAAATACACATCTGAGTACATTAAAACATGCAATTTTACTAATTGGCTAATTGATTTTGAGATCTTTGTGATGATATTACAATCTTTTCTTCTACTGTAACTGAATAATGTTTCTAATACACAGAATAATTTTTCTATTAATTAATTAAAGACAAAAAAATCAAAATTAAAGACAATAAAAAAAATTAAAAAATTCCAATTAAATAATAATAAAAAAAATCTGAAAGCTACCTTTTTTAACGTTTTTTGTGTTACCTTTTTTTTTTATTAAATATCATGTTCTTCGCACTTAAACCATAAAATTCAATTTAACAACAATATCATGAAAAAGAAATCACGTGCATAAAATAAGATGCATGCGATGTTAATGTCAATGAAATACTTTGAAATCATTGAATTTGTTAATCAAAAATTCGTTCTCAAGTTTTAAAAAATATTAAACGAATAATAAAACAAATTTCAGATTCCAAATTTGGGCTTCCAGATGCCCAAATTCGAGTGGAAGGACCACATTATTTAAAATCTGATGTCCCTAGGTGCCATTGTTTTTTCACAATATGACAAACATTACATAAATACATTAATGGAGACTCTTCATTATTTAATTTCTTTAAATATAATGCAGGGCTCTAATATTTGGTGGCAACAATTTGAAAAGTGATCCAGACTTTTATAGTGAACCAACATAAAATGCCAATATGTAATATTTATCAATTATAAATGCATTATCTGACTACATGTATGATTATAACAATTGTTAACATGACAGCAGACCAAAAAGGCAACATGATTAAAACATTTGTTACTTATATTTTCATGATATTTACAGGGTACCATTAATTGGATGAAAGATGGAAGCACCATAGTTACAATTAATAGCATTGAATGATAGACCTTTTAATTCAAGCACACCTTAGCAACCGGACTAAAAGCCTGCTCTGAGTATGAGACTAAAAATACTGTATCTTTTCTTCCAGCAAATAAAACTGCTACTTCCCTTCCCCCTCAATGTGCAGCATTACATTTTGAAAGTGCAGCTGTATACCAATCAGTCTATTGCATTGAGAGACAAGATAATAACACTGACAGCCTGCGCATTTTTTGCCTATGTGCAAGCTGTCATAAGTCTCAAGCACTGATGAACATATTAATAAGTCGTGTATTGAAACATTTACAGAAAGAGTAGCTTCACAGCAGTAATTTGCATTACAACTGATGCCACAAAACTGAAGTGATTACTGTGTACATTTTCATGGTGGTTGCAATAGTAGCATGAACTGCCAATGAAAAATGAAAACCCTGTAGTTTCTGTCTGTTAGATCAAACTAAGGAACTCTAGTTTGTAGGCAAGTCCGAAACCGGAGTATAAGCATCCTCCAAGAACAGGTGCTAAAGACAACATTTCTTTTATGCCAATAAATAAGATCATGGCATGACGATAAGCAAATATTTACATTCATAATTCAAACAATTTATTTATAAAATCAGGGATGTGTAAGTATCTGATCCATACAGAAAATAATATGGGATATGTGTGTGTCATCAATCAGGATGATTGAGGATAATCAGGGATATGTGAGTATCTGATCCATACAGAAGTTATTATAGCTTCTTAAAGATACTCAGAAAATTGGACATCAAATAGTATATGACCAGTGGTGTAAATAAGGGTATACAAAGAATGCCGTCGCATAGGGGCCCGAAGGCTTAGGGGGCCTTGAATGTTCTGCTGAACTACATTCACATGATTAAACTTAAAAGAAGATGCATTCTTTTATAAATACTAAGACCAAGGGCAAGGTACCCCCATAAAAGTTGAATTCATACCCGACACATACCAAAATGTCGGGTATCATATTTCAACGGAAATATCCATTTTGACCGTTCCCAAATCCATTTGAACGGTCTTTTTTCGTGACGTCTGTACATATGGATAAAATAAAGGGCTCTTCCTTTAAAAAAAGAAAAGGATTATAAAATAGGTTTAAAATGGATTCAAAAGGGATTTTCCTCATGACATCTGTACGTTCGCATATACGTACATACGTCACGAGTATACAGAGAGATAGATATATATATCTCGCATAACTCAAAGACGATTAGCCGTAGAGTGTTGAAATTTCGTATATGGGAGTGCTATAATAGCTAGTTGTGCATTTCACTTTTTATTGCAGTTGGCAGAATATGTTTTCACCCTCTTACCCGACCTTTATTTTCGCAGTCATTGGTCGTAGCCATAGCTTTCCATTCAGAAGTCTCCCAGGGAGAAAAATGTTTTGGCAATGTCGAATTAAAAAAAAAAAGAAAAGAAAAGAAAGAAAAGAAACATAATTGTCGACATATAACCAAATTTAAATTTTCCTCAGGTCTAATATTTGGGAAAATGTTACACTCATGGAAAAAAAAAAAAAATTACAAGAAGTTTGACTTCTGTGCAACAGAAACTGACTGGGATATTTAGTTCAAAATTTAAAATTTTTCATGTCATTTTCTTCTTGCCTTCAGAGATCAGTTCATTAAATTACCTTCATTCAAGGAAGTAAGTTTCAATGAAGCGCAGTAGAAAATGTGTATAATTTGATTTAAGTTATGTGGTGTCCATATAAGATTTTTTAATTATTTTCTGATCATCATCAAAATCATCATTAAAATTTTGGCTCCTGGAATCATCATTTTTGTGGGGGGGGAGAGTACTGTAAATTTAATAGGTAGCTCGAAAATTTTTTTGCATAGGGGCCCTATAGTTCTAGTTACGCCACTGTATATGACAATCAAAGGAGGACAATCAAAGACATCAAATAGTATGTAGAAATTAAAGAATGAAGATAATAGCTGTAAGAAGGTTGTTCTAGCATCCTATATGTTTGTAAATTAAACCCTATACAAACATTTATCTTACAGGAATTCTTACTGCATGACAAAGAGATCTGCCAAAGTATCAATTACGATATCTCAATCCATGCTCAATAAACTGTACGGCATATACTGCAATCAGATGCACAATAATAAATACAAATTTTCTGTAAGACACTTTCAACATATTTTTGGGCAGCAAAAACTACTGAAATTAAAATGCTGTAGATAGACATTAATATATCTTTCTTCTCCTTATAAGGTGTTTTGCATTACTCAAGAGAAAACATGTTTACTTATGAACAACTGTGAAGGGGTTGTTTTAGATAGGGTCATAGAAGAGTCCTGTATAGTGTAACAAGTAATATTACTAATTACTAATTAATCCTTAATATTAGGAGTTAGATCCAGCGGGTGTGGCTGCAAGTACAGTTTCTGAAAAAGAAAGTGAGACAAAGCCACGGAAAATTCTTAAAGCTAAACATTAACGTTGGGCGCCACTTTGTGAAGGGGTCATTTTAAATAGGATCACAGAAGAGTCCTGTATAGTGTAACAAGTATTTATTAACAGGTTTAAGTTACACATGCACATTACATTTAACTTCAAGAAAAATTACAGAGCAAAAGTTTGGTACAACCTATTAAGTGGGAGCCTTGGCTTTTACTGAAGTACTTCTCTGGCTACTCACCAGAGGGCAGCCTTGTTGTTACAGTTAGTCCAAGAGTTTATGTTAAGGGATTGGTTACATAACTAAATAAATATAAAAACTATATGGAGGAGCAAAATAAGTATGTCATTAGTAAGATGTGTATTTTGCATGACTCAAACATTTTTTACTTACAAATAGCTAAACAGAAATGTAAACAAGTATACATAAGAGCAAAAAGAACAAACAAGTGGTATTGTAGTCTACAGTAAATTTACAATTATAGCAAGAACAATTACTTTTGTTTTTACTGACATTACTCAAATACTTAACCCTCTGAGTGGCCACTGTTTTCGCTAAGAAAGCACAAATTTCCCAAAACTACTATGAGAACAAATTATTTTTTTGATTTTTAATGTAAAAACTCTTCTGGTATTTCATACTACCTGAATTTGTTTTCTTTTTATATATTGCTTTAATTTCTTCGACATATTTTAATATGCACGTATACATACATTCTTACAAATATCACAAAAGATATTCTAGGCCATATATATACGGCCTTGCCGCTTAGAGATTTAAAAAATATTTCTCTGAAATAAATCATAAAAGCATTTCAAGTACCAAAAATTTTTTATAAAAGTGTAATAAAAGTTTTATGAGTTTCAGATAAATACTGAAATTAAAAACATACATTAGATAAATCCTATACCCTCAGTTATAGAGCATATTCAGATTTGTGACTGCTCATGATATATTCCTTACACCATCATTATGCAAAATAATATTAACAAACTAATACTCACATAAAAAAAATTAAGTAATTTAACTGTAAGCAATATATTAGTTACCTTGCCCCAGTAAGATTTCCATCATTGCAGTACTTCTCCATAAGATACAAATATGTCACCTATGAAACAGCAATAATCATAGTATTGTACAGATAAGCCTTAATGAATTTTATAAACACATAAACTTTAAATAAATTTCTGAATTTATAGAAAAGAATATTTTACTTTGAAGAATGCATATAACTGTAAAATACTTAGAAATATCAAATTTATTTTCAGGCTAGAATAAAGGAAACATTTAACAAAATACTGGTTAGGTTAATTGAATATGGCAAACCTACAAGGATTATGTGCCTATTGGGAAGGGGGATGTCTTCATGGAGGACTTTCTGACGGAAACAGCAATTCATGGTACACATAGAAAAAAAAACGTGAAAAGCAACTATGCAATCAGCCATTTGCCTACATTTGTATCCAAACAGGTTGATTTACCAACATTCAACAGTCCTAATCATTCAGCCACTGGTAGAGCTTAACAACAAACATATTCAAGTACAATCTTATACAGTGTAATTAATAAATTTTTGTAAACAGTTCACATGATGTTATTATGCACTACAATACTGAATTCATTAAAGCATGGGTCAGGAAATTCAAATTGTCTGTTTTTATCATAAATGTGGAAAAAGCAAGACGGCTAAGCTCTTAGCAAAGTTATGGGAAAAAAAAAAAAAAATGTGCAAAAAGGTCAGTAATGTGCTCAGCTTCAAAAGTGCCACAGATGAAGTTTTAATAATGTGGAAATTTAAATAATATTCTGAAAACCTAGCTAACAAAACAACAAAAAATAGCATTACTTTGCAGACCACTGGAATTAAAAATCAAATAGGCTATTTTAACAATTAGTTCAAATCATTAGTGACTAAGTATTAAATAATATATATATATATATATAATTTATTTCCTAAACAGTATTGATTAATTGATTATATTATCTCCTAAGTTTAATTAAAGTAGAATTATTTTAAAAGTGTGCATCCATACTGGTAAGTTATATTTTGAAAGATGTTTTGAAGTAATTTGAAAGCAAAATGTTAATAATGTTTGAAAGGGGACTATTCGCACTAAATGGATTTAAGATCATACAACATTACATATATATATATATATATATATATATATTAATTTATATGCATATATATAAATTAATATACTAGATCTTGCAGTAGTTTTCACATACATGTACCTTGGGAAATATGCATTGCAATTACAAAAGTTTTGGAAGATATTCAATATAATTACAAAAGTCATACTAAATGTTTTACTGCAGCTGTCTTCAAATTATGTTCAATGGAACCCTGGGGTTTAATGCAAATTTTCAGAGAGGTTAGTTAAAATAAAAAAAAGTTATTATTTAAATAAAATATCCGATATATTTTATTTTATATTTTTTATTACTTCCTTGTACAAAGTAAAAAGGAAGTATTGTAATCACGAAAAGTTTCAGGCAGTATATGTCAACGAAAATATCCATTTTGACCGCTATCAAATACAATTTAACGATGTTTTTACGTGATATCTGTACGTAAGAACAGATTAAAAGACTCTTTTCCTCCAAAAAAATTATAAAACTGCTTTACAATGAATTCTGAAGAAAATTTTCCGTGGCGTCTGTACGAACGTATGTACATACGCACATACCTCGCATAACTCAAAAACGAGTAGCCTCAAAATGTTGAAATTTTGTATATAGGACATCTATAACATGTAGATCTGCACCTCGTATTTTGGTTGCAATCGGCCGCACCAAACATATATAAATATATTTATATATATATCCACTCTGTTACCCGGCTCAGTGATCTCAGTTTCTTTACTCTCATATGTTTGCAAATTGTACATTTTTTGCTTTAAAAACAATTGAATTATGTTGTTCTTATCTTCCGGTTAAGGTTTTTATGCCTTTAGTAAATCTGTATGCAAGATTTTTAGAATTATCAACAATTTTAAAGTTGTTTAAGTGCCACTAAGCCTAATAATTTTTTTGATGGTGGCCATTGCTTGTTTACATTTGAAACAGCAGAATAGCGGATTTGTTGCCAATCTAGAGAAACTTAGCTTCGCAACAACAAAGATAATGCCTTCATTTATTATTGCGAATTAAATCATGCTTGATCCTTTCTAGAATTTTTTCGAGGAAATAAGTGTTTAAGATTTATTTCGTAACTTTTAATACAGATATTTTGAGTTTTTATGTATTTTTGCCTTGTCGTGAAGTCAAAACTGAATTAATTGAATGAGAAATACTCACTCGTCTGTGAAAAACTGTTTCTTTTTTGTTTTGTTTGCTTAATTTCTTTTATACATTGTTCTAGCTTTATTATAGTATTTGAATAGAACATGTGGAAACGATTAGATAATTCTTTAAATGATATAAATTTTATGCATTCTGAGTTATAATATGAACAAAATATAATACTGTTAAGTGAACCTAGCGCCAGAGTGTCGCTATGGTAAACAAATAGAGTGAATTTTAAAGAATGCATTTATTCTATTGTGGTTTATACGCTGTCGGGGAAGTAGATTTAATTCAGTCCAATAAGTTTAAATGAAATGCAAGAAAAAATGCGTATAATTTAATATTCCGTACAAGGAAGTCATGTGGTGTACACATCAGATTTTTTTGTTTATATTGTATGCATCGTCCGTTTAAGATAAGCATGAAATATGTACAGTAATATATAAATGCAACAAATGCCGTATTTGAAACTGTTGTCAGCAAGTTTTTACATTTTTCGCTTCGTTTTGCTTTACAGAACAACTACATCGATCATCCATGCTGCCTAACAAATTGCCATTAATAAAAATATTCATTATTCTACGCAATGTCAGAACTTTTATTTTTGAAATTACAAGAATGCCTTGTTTACCTATGGAACAGACTGATGTTTTCAGAATAAAAACATTGAATAAAAACATTGAAAAATTCATCAATCAATTTTAAACATTTCATTTTATTGATGGACGACCTTTGTTTACGATACAGAAAAATACACTACAGTACTATACATACATATTTTCTCGTCTCGGAAAATGTGGTGTACACATCAGATTTTTTGAACAGCAATAGGAATATTAAATATAATAACATTTTTTACCGTTTCCTACATAAAGTGTTATGTAATATAAATAGATTTTCAATGCCATCCTTTTTTTTTTCCACTTACTATCTGGTAAATAATAAGAGTATCATGAAAAAATTCTAGTTTTATCAGTTATCTGAGTTGATAAAGTCTGATAAATTATAAAACTAAAAGTTGAGTGATAAAGTCTGAAAACAGTGAGTTGATAAAGTCTGACATATGATAAAGTACACGGTCTTTAATGGACAGTCTTTTTCAATTTTCTTTTGCCAGAACCAAACTCTAAAAGATATTGACAGTTTTATCCAACCAGCTGCTTTCAGCATCTTTTTTTAGGCATTCATTGTATATTTCCAAGAACAACATGTACCAAATAATTTTCAACAGAAAGATATATGCCCAGTGTTACTTATTGCCCATCATTTAATTAAATGTGTAGTTCTTATTTCTTACAATCTTCTTGTTTACAAAGTATGATTCGTCAATAAAAATTTTTCAGTACTATTCGGTTTTGAGGGTCGTAAAAAATCGCCAAACTATTGTTGATGCCAGCGCTGCCAAAAATAATTGCAGCAACCCTAACGCAAGAAAGGAAGTATAATAGTAAATAACTATCTAAGATTGATGTTTTAATTTAGATGAAAGGTTAATTTCATGTAACACTTTTTTATTATTATAATTTATATAAAAATATTAAACATGACTGAATGGAAGCATAAGAGTAAATAACTATTTCAGACCTTTATTATAATTTATATTAAAAAAAAGGCTAAACATAACTGAATGGATTCCTGCATCGCTATTATTTCGCTACCGAGTTATCACTAAAGCATAATTTCATCTCGTTGGTGGCTCAAACATAATTTTCTATAATGAATGATGGCTTTTCTTTGAAAAAATTATCGGTAAAGTGCAAAAATGCCCACTTATTTGTTTGCCGCTTTTTACAAGGGTAAAAAAAAAAAATTGGATTTTTGTCAATTTTCATTTACTTTTTAAGTGAAAATAGGTCGATGTGTACATAGATAAAAGCAAGGGTGTGCGCAGTGCCATTTTTCTGCAATTCTGCGATTTTTTTAAGTGAAAATAGGTCGATGTGTACATGACACCGAATATGTGCAATTCTTAAAAACGCATCAAGCAATAGGTGATTCTGCACTTTACCCAAAATTCTATTGCAGACTTTTCGTCATGGGTAATTTCCAAATTGTTAAATCCATAGGATATCAAAAAAGGATTTAAAATCAAAAAAAAGGATTTAAAAATTAAACTAGTATTTCAATGGCGTCTTAAGAAATATAGAACTATATAAACTTACGCAATCTGAAATCACTGCGTATGGTAGATTTGGCGCGCTGTTAAATGGGCGCGTTTGCTAGATTTGGCGCTTACATTTTCACTTCAATTTTTTTACTGCCCTCAAAACCGAATAGTACCAATTTTTCAAGTACGTAATTCTATTTCATTTTTTGTTCACTGAAATAACTAACCTAAGAGAAAGTATATTGCTTGTGTTTAGAAAATTTTTACATCAATTTATTTGAGGTGATGACATTATCATTGGAAGTATCAAGTTGGTATATATATTTTTCTAAACAAAATTCTTTGCCGTATGCTGCACTGTGGCAGAAAATATCCAGTTTTTGCAATAAACTGCCCAAATGACTAGAACAATTCAATTTTTATAACAGGATCACTAAATTAAAAATATTTAAGAGGTAGTTCTTCCAAGCTGATGCTAACTGGATGACCTGCCTACAATTCTAATGAATGAAGAGCTGAATCTCTCCATTGGTCAGCTGAAAATGTCAAGGCAAGATGCCAATACTCTTATTCAATCCCAAATGAAATAAAATAAGTGCTTGCATTATACATTAAAAAATTAAATTACGTTTATCTATTATAAATTGGTTTTAAAAACTAAATAATTAAAATTTCTGTTATTGGAATTACTGAGGATAGAAAAATACTGAGAACATAAAAATTACCTTATCAGGCTGAATTTGATCTGCATCCAACTTTGATAAAAAGTCAGTAGGAGAAAAATGATGATTGTTGTCTAAGTAAATTCTCAAAAGAGAATTATAATGTCTTATGTCAAAAGAACAACCTATTTATGAAATAAAAATTACAATCAGTGCAAAGATCATCATTAAAAATCAAGAACTCATTTTAAAAAAAGAATATACTAGAAACGAAAATATTTATACCAAATTTTATTTTTTAAATGAGGTCCATATGTGAATACCATTTGATGTTTCAAGCATGCTGAAAATGAGTGCACTCAGCATTTCCCATAAAATCTAATATCACTTGTACTCAATGTTAAATCAATATGTTTCATAGTGTGAGGTTAAAAATCTTTAAGATAATTAAGCATTCTGCCGACTGTGAAATGGAACCAATCATTTATTTCTTAATATCAAGAAACATGAAAGCAGCAGATATTCATTGCCAGATATGTGAAGTATACAGTAAAAATGTAATAATAGTAAAAACAAAGTACAAAACTAGGTAACATTCTTCGAACAAGGTTTGCAAAAAATCTATGGTGAACTGAACTCTGGTCAGCTGTCTGCAATTACTGACAGTTTGATGCAGGCAGTACAGACCCACATTCCCACAAATAAAGAGATTTGCAAGTTGTTCAAATTTACACATGATAGAGAAATGAAAGAGGTTATCATCATCAGCAGAACTGCGTGAAAAGAGTATCTACAAACTCAATGTTCATTGAGATAAATGGTTAAATTGCCAAAAGAAATTACCATATTTGACAGCATATAAGACGCACCCTTATTTAGAAAAACCACACACAAGGAAAAAAAAGTTTCAATAGTCCGCGCTACAGCGCAGTACCACAATAACTTAAAATGTGGTTTCTTTTAGTTCTCACGTTTCGTAAAAGCCAAATAAACAATCATTGAATTCAATTACCAAACATATTTTTATTAAGGAAAATTAACAAACGGCAAGCTATTTTGAACATATGTAAATTTCAATAACGAATAAATGAATGAACGGCAAGCAGTCAAGCATAATACAAAATAAAGCAGAAACAACAAAAAACGCAGATTTAAGGGAAGCGTTGCCTATCATGAAATTAGAATTTAATCACTTTCAAAACCGTAAAAATCCTTTTCACTATCATCATCATCAAAAATGAGAATATCGTCATCACTAGTGTTTCCATCATCGCTAGTATCACCTTCTTCTTCTGTTCCGTCAAGAGCATTGCTAATTCCGCACTTCTTAAAGGACTTAACAATTACTTCAGCCTTTACGTTCTCATAAGATCTTTTTACCCACTCGCACACTTGTGAAATAGAGGGCCACTTCATTCTACCTGAGGGTGTGAGGGAGTGATGTGGCTCTCCTATCCATTTGTTCCATTGTTCTCGCACTTTTTCCTTAAATGGCTTATTCACCGATACACATAAAGGCTGTAATTGGCTAGTCAGTCCACCAGGAATGACAGCTATCTGGGTTTTTAATTCTCTCGCTTTATTCTTTATGATTTCAGTTCTATAGGCCCTAACTGATCCAAAACCAAAAGAGAGAGTTTTTTTAAGAGTCCACCAGGTCACCTTGCCCATACGTTCTGTAACCACAGTTTCATTCCAGCTTCGTTCATCCAGCCTTTCGGATGAACATGAACAATTACACCCGTTGGAAGTTTTTCTTTCGGATGAGTTTTTCTTTTGAATATGAAAAACGGCGGTAGTTTTGTGCCATCAGCACAACATGTTAGAACTACCGTATATCGGGTTTTTTCATGACCCTTCGTTTTTATGGTTATTGATTTAGACCCTTTAATACTCACAGTCTTGTTGGATGGTACATCAAATGTGAGTGGAATTTCATTCATATTTCCTATTTGACCGAGCTCAAAAGAAGTTTTCTTGCGTGCATTTATAACAAACCTATGAAATGCTAGTATTTTTTCTTCATAATCTGCTGGCATTTTCAGTGCAATAGTTGTTTTTGTGCGCATTGATAAGCCTTGCCTTTTCATGAACCTGTACCACCAGCCCTCATACCCTGAAAAGTTCTGATTCTCATGTTTTTCTGCATATCTTTTGGCCTTATTGATTATCATTTTGGTTGAAACACTTATCCCAGATTTCCTCTTACCTATCACCCACATTTTTACGGCATTTTCAAGTTCAGGCCAAGATGGAGCTGGGCATCGAAGGTTATGTTTTTGTTTCTTAGCAGTCTTCAGTTGATCTTCCTGCAGTTGCCAAGTACGTATCATTTTTTCGGTAGGTGGTGGACTGAAATGCTTTGCTGCTGTTCTGTTTCCATGCACTTCGGCATAGTTTAACACTCTCAGTTTATACTGAATTGTATAGCTTAATTTCTTGTTTCCTGTAGTCATATTTTCCAGGGTATTCTTTTTAAACAAATAGTTTTTAAGCACCAATACTGACACATGTGTCGGCGGAGTCAAAGAAAGTCTATGTAAAGAAGAAAAGGCTCCATAGACGTAATGTGACCGTCAAACCTGTTCGAGCTTCGACATCAGCTTCCAGCTTTGGCGCTTTTTGGCGACAGATATTTCACGCATGCACAAAATAATTATGGCAGATGTAGAAAATGTTATGTGTGTTTAGACCTTTATCCGGGCTAAAAATAGCAATCAGTATTGAAAGTTCACCTGTGTCCTTCACATATAAGACGCAGGTAACTTTTTTGAGAACAAATTTAGGAAAATAAGTTCATCTTATATGCCATCAAATATGGTACGTAAAAAAATAGAAAAATGGAATGTAAATTTAGAAAAATGTTTTCCTTTAAAATTTTTACTTAGTTTGTTATTATTGCAAAACAGAATTTACTTGAAAAATACACTTTATGAATTACAATCCAGAAGGCTAAAAAAGAAAAAAAAAATTATCTCTGTAATCTAAAGTACACAGACCTTGGACGCATATCCAAAACAATTTAGCTTAAGTAAAAGCATTATGCAGGAATTTCAAGAAATGTCACAAGAATAAAAAAGCTTTGAGAATTTTTTAATTCTTTTTTTTTCCCCCTCCTTCTTCCATTCTCATTCCACACTTGCTTCAACAATTCTTCAATTAAAGTCTACCCATGTTTAAAGACCATTATACCATGTTTAAAGACCCTTATAACCATGTTTAAAGATCATTTATATGATCCAGTCACCAGTCTATTTAAAAAATGCAAATACTAACATTTCTTGAAATTTAAATTCCTTCAGCTACCATTTTATTGTGAATATATGTAACATGAAATATGTGACTGCATTTTTGCAACGCATTCAACTTTGAGTATATTACCTAATTTTATGCCCTTAAAAAATGAAGAAAAATCATCATTTTTCATATTTTATAACTTTTAACTGACTAACTTGTGGATTATACAGAGAGCCTTTGAAATAAAGAAATGGAATTTCTTTAAATATCAGTTATAAAACTTTCTGTTGATAGTATTTTGATTTGAATTTAACTTTTTCCTCCACTCATTTTATTTTTCATTTTTCCACTGTAAGATAATCTTTAACTCCTGACACAAACTTTCTTTGTATGGAACCAGGTTTGTACATTTTTTCTCTTCGTTTTCAATAAAAAATAGATCTTTATTTGTTAGTTATTTAGTTACACCCATGCTTCATCAAGGTCACAATGTACTTCTATGGTTTTCATACAGGGTTCTACAAATTTTCATAGTTTTCATAGAGGGCTCTACTAACTGTTCTGCATTGAGCCTTACCAAAAAGTAGGTGAACATTATGTTTTTTAGATTTTTTAAATCGTAAACCTTAGTTTGTTATGTTATTCATTGTTGCGACATATGTATTTAAAGACTTTGCAACTGATTTCTATACCAGCAGAATTTTCTCTTATTACCAAAAGTTTTAATTTAAAAACATTAGAACCAGTACGTATTTTTTTTCGGATATTTGTTTAGAGTTTTCTTTCCATGTAGAATAGACAGTTTAATAGTAAAAATAGTAATGATAGACAGTATTTAAAATAGTAATGATAGACAGTTTCCCCCTTCTGGATTTATAAATGCTGCTCATTTTGCCCTTAGAAATTTTAATACCATACATTTCACAAGAATTTTAAATTATGGAATAGGAATATTTTTCTTTGGAAAGCATAAAAAACATATCCTTCAACCCCAGCTTGTTTATATATAATATTTTGAAAGAAGAATTAATTTAAAAGTAACTGACAAAATTTCTCACTTCAAACAACAAGCTGCTGCCAGAAATTTTTATTCCAATAACACACTGGTCTTTTTTTTTAATCCTTTATCGAAAGCATTAAAAAAATCTGTGAACACCCTCTGTATTAAAATACACAGTGGTGAAAATCATGATACGGTGCCAGCTCATTAATATTTTCATGCAATTTTTGCCATTTTAAAGACTTTTGATTAACAAATAAATTACACTTAAAAATGCTTTCCTGTCTAAATTGCAAAATAAAATTAGCACAAAAGTGTTTTAAATAGAAAAACGGACAAAATAGCTATATCTCTAATATTTTCAGTACTACACATAGGTCTTTCTGCTGGAATTACTTATTCATCACAAATTAGGCTCAATACTGCTTCCACGCACACAACAGCACTCTTGCACTAAACGTAACTCGATATTAGGATCCTGTTGCCCATAATAATTTTCTACTAAACACAATAACATAAGGTAAAAAATAAATAACATAATTTTTAACCTAAATACAAAAAGAACAAAAATACTGGCTACTCCTAATTTCATGAACTAATTTTTTAGATTTAATGCTAGTTTATTCACAATGATGACCAATAAATATGAATTTTGAAGACAGTTAAAATTTATCATTTAAACATGTTATGAGGACTGGTTGTTTCATTTCTTGCGAGATATTTATGGACAATTCAACCTTCTTAATTCTAAGTAGAATTTTTGATGAAAAACAAAAGGATAACTTTTGAATTTGCAAGGGGGGGGGAACTTTTTCAGTCTACTACCTTGAGTATGACAGCTGATAACAATATTTTATCAATTTATTTTATCCATGAATATCCATCTGGTAATTAAACAGTCTGGTTTAAAATGTAAAAACATCTGAAATCGAGAAGGGTATGAAATGATGTACAAGAAAAGATCATATAAGGATGTTTGAATGACAATACTTCACAATACTTTTCAAACAATGAGAATACTTTTCAAAGGAAAATTAGTTAGGTTTGACTTTTTTTAACAATTAGCACTTTGTTTACTACCTGTTATAGGATATTCTAAAGTATTTTATTTTGTGGATAGTTCACCATTAATCAGTAACTGTTTACCTCTTCTAATTTTTGCTACAACATATTTCAATAAATTTTACCTTTGATTTAAAATGTTATGTACATAAAATATAATGACAAGCTCAGATTTGCAATGAAGCACCACAGCCCACACATTAAGCTAAGCATAATCTGTCGAACTGTCAACAGCTGAACGTAGCTCTATCTTACAGGCTATCTGTCGAACTGTTAACAGCTGAATGTAGCTCTTATCTATTAAAAATCAATCAATATTAAGTTTATAAACTCTTACTGATGTGTACATATTGAAAACATAAAAAAAGCACTTCTGTTTGGATGTTTTCTAGGCTTATATTTTAGCAATTTACATGAAAAAATATTTTTTGAATGTAACTTTTTCAAATTTTCAGTTGAAATATTATGAAATAACAACATGGAATAAAAGAATTTTTTGGTGAGATATAGTCAATTGCCTAATTTTTGTCAAAAAGTTCTCAATTTCACCTCAACCAAAGATAAAACATCAAAACACTTCTATCCCAAAGGTAAATTTGAATGCCACTTAAAATAATTACATCTTTTAACATTTTCAAAAAACAGTGACAGCAAGATTTAAAATATAAGTTTATTATGACTACTATTTTGAATTTTTAAAAATCACACACACAAATATGTAAATCTTACTTAGGCAAACGTGTAAATCTTCCTTTGAAAAAATATTATCATGCAACATACTTTTCCATCGCAAAAAAAATTTATTTTCTTACCTAATTTTATCAAAGTATTCCATATTTCATTAGCTAATTCAATTCTTTTTGAAGGTGCTTCTTCAAGAATCCGTCCACAACATCTTAGAAGATACAGACCATGTGTTGCAGAATGAGACGATAATTCTAAAAGACATATTTTTATAAATAAATTACAGCAATAGAACAGGAACAATAGAACGTTTGTTTAAGGCTACACGGCAGGTACAAAATACAGTTTTAAAATACACCAGAACCAGCTCTGATGCTGGCCCTAAAAGATATCGCAAAGGCAGGGAGATGATGAGCAAAATAAATCTCAGAAAAGGAACAATGAGATTAAAAAAAAGGTGGGAAAACTATGGTCTACAGCCTAAATGAAATCTCCAACTCATTAGTAAAATACAAGTTAAAATATTTATTTGTTCTTACATTAAAAATTAATCCATCTATGATCATGTTTTTGTAGTTTTCGAACATTAAGCAAGGTTTAATTGCATTATTAATACTCATTGTAACAATTATTCGTTAAAGCAATCATTTTGTTGCAAAAAAAATCCAGTACCCTTCTGCTATCGGGACCGGATTCAGATACATATGTTACATTGATACATACATTTCTGTATCCGGTTTCTATAACTGAAGAGTACCAAAAATCCTTTATAACATTTTTATAATATTTTCCTATGAGGATGAAGAGATGGTTATAAAAAGCTTATACAGATCTTGATTATATCAAGCTGTAATGCATTCTCATTCATCACTTCATATGTGTCATCTTGCATTACTTCACTTTAATCATTCACGGCATGGCGCCTTTATTTTCTATAAGCTTTTTCAAGGAGATTGACGTCATTATTGCTACTAATATCTTTTTTTTTTTTTTTTTTTTTTTGTATCAATTTATCATAAAAAAATGCAGTACTATTCCGCTTTGAAGACCATAAAAAAATTGCATCGAAAATGTATGCGCAAATGTGCCAAATCTGGCAAACGCGCCCATTTAACAGAGCACCAAATCTAGCATATGTGCTGATTTCAGATTGCGTAAGTTTATATAGTTCTATATTTCTTACGATGTCATTGAAATATTAGTTTAATTTTTAAATCCTTTTTTGATATCCTACAGATTAAACAATTTGGGAATTGCCCATGATGAAAAACCTGTAATAGAATATTGGGTAAAGTGCAGAATCATCCACTGCTTGACGCGTTTTCAAGAATTGCACGTACTCAATATCCATGTACACATTGACTTGCACAAAAATTGCACTGCACACACCCTTGACCATCTACATACACATCGACCTATTTTCACTTAAAGAGTAAAAGAAAATTGACAAAAATCCAATTGTTTTTACCCTTGTAAAAAGCGGCAAACAAATAAGTGGACGATTCTGTACTTTCCTGAGAATTTTTTTTGAAAGAAAAGGCATCATTCATTATAGAAAATTATGTTTGATCAATCAACAAGATGAAATTATGTTTAGCGAACTCGGTAGCGAAATAGCAATTCAGGCATCCATTCAGTTATGTTTAGCAATTTTGAGTAGAGTAGACTTTAAGGTACCCCTTGTATTATGGCAAAGTTGTTGTTTGATTTATCGCCAAGTTGTAGTTTCATTTATGGTAGCCTGAGTAGTTGAATGTTATGAAAACCCCATTGTGACATAATCAGGTGCATGATTCTGGGAAATTTTGTATCATGGGATGTTTTGTAAGCGTTTTTGTGGTGTGTGTTGGTTCTTTAGACGATAGAATGGCCAAATGTAGTAAGATTAATTTGAAGTTTCTGTACGATTTGGAGCGAAAGGGGAAAAGAGCTTTAATTGACTGGTGTGTAAATGAAGGTTTACTTAGTAGTCATTATAAGTGTCTTGTATGTAGGAAGGATATGCATCTAGTCATGGTTTGAAAAAAGTCATTTGAGTATGAATGATATTTTGATTTTTACGTGGCTCTGGGTGTAAGAAGTGAACTCGAAAATCATGGTAAGTGAATATTTGCTTTTGGTAATGCTTAAATGTATAACATGTTTTTCCTTTTTTATGTTATTCTATTGTTTAGTTTAAAATGTATTTTATTGAGATTATGTATTTTTTGTTTACCTATATTGTAGAATTTGATGCTCCTTTGACTTTCTAAGTGAAAATATATCGATGTGTACATGGACAAAGTAAAGGGACTGCGCAATGCAAGTTTGTGCAATTCTGGGATTTTTTTTTTTAAGTGAAAATAGGTCCGCATGTAAATGGATACAGTTAAAAGAGTGCGCAATGCCATTTTTGTGCAATTCGGGGATTTTTTTTAATTGAAAATAGGTCAACGTGTACATGGATAAAGTCAAAGGAGTGCGCATTACCATTTTTTTGCAATTTGGGTTTTACCGCCAAGTTTCGCCAAGGGCTACCCTAAACTATACTTTTACCGCAATTTTTATATAAATTATAATATTGATTTAAAATAGTTATTTAATCCTATGCTTCCATTCAGTCCTGTTTAGCCTTTATTATATAAATTATAATAAGAAGAAAGTATTATATGAAATTAACCTTTCATCTAAATTAAAACATCAATCTTAAGTAGTTATTTACTATTGTACAGTACAAAGTCTGTAATCTGGATGTCCATTATCCGAAATGATCTATAATCCGACCTAGCACAAAAAATAAGATAGAAATTTATGGGTGCTCATCATATGCCAGATATAAAAATTATACATTACAAATAAGCAAAAAATTAGATTTTTTACACGTACCTAAATGCTGTTTATATACAGTCAAAAGTCGTTAATTCGGACACCCATAATCCGGAATGATCTATAATCCGGACCTCAAAGCTAAAAACTTTCTGCGCATGCGCCGCGTTGGCACATGCGCACAGGTATTTTACGCGTGCGTGTAAGACCTTGACTACTGCGCATATGCGTGTGCGCAAGTGCAGAATACGTTTTCGCCTGCGCGTTTAATGTATAACGGAAGGTGTAAGCTAAAATTATCTAATTATCTATTTCAGTTAATGTTAATGATTGCGTTGTTCCTTAATCTTCGAATTGGATCCCGCTGATTATTTTTTGCAGACTGTAAGAGCAATTTTATAAAAGTAAACTTAAACTTTCGATTATGTCAAATAGAATTTCCGATGCTGGAACTTCCAAAGGATCTACAAAACGAAAGTATGTTTCGATGTCCAACAAACAAAAAGTAGAATTGCTGCAAAAAATGGATAAAAGACATGAAGAATGTGACAGAGAGGTTAGTGAAAACGAAAAAATTTCGATTGACAAGTTAGTCGGTATTCTCGGCACAGCAATTAACGGGACTTGAACTGCGGGACTTTGTAACTGAACAAGAAATTATGTCTGTTTATAGAATTAAAGACAAAGTATTATCACATAAAATGAAGCAACTTAAACAACTTACATTGAAAGAAATGTTTAATAAAGTAAACAAATAAATATTAAGCTTTTTTTTTTTTTTTTTTTTTTTGTAAATTTTGATACCCTTTAAATCATAATTGTTCTTTATTTCATTAATTACGGTTTCATATTTTTAATTTTAGAATTTCTGCATGCCATCTTACGAGATTTAAACTGATGATCTATAATCCGGAAAAATCGATAATCCGGAATCGCCGAAGTCCCGACGAGTCCGGATTAACGACTTTTGACTGTACAAGAAATGACATACCTTATGAACTTAAATACTTTCATTATCGGATAACATAAAAAGTTCGTCACATTTGTCTTCTGTTATATCTTCATGCATATCATCAAATTCTTTTTCACCATTACTATCATTTTTACTTTGATTCATAAACAAATAATTATAATATCTTTCATCTTTCACCAACACTAAACATCCGCTACAGCCTGATTTCCTTTTTTTTTCGCAAACTAATTAACTTTGCCTTTGAAAGCAGTACCGTGTTGTTTCGTTTGGCAAGAGCCATATTTACTCCTCAAAGGAACACTAGATCAACTGTATTTCAACTAAAGCAAATTCAATTTAATGAGGCCGGTTATAGTTGACTTTAAGGTACCCCTTGTATTATCGCCAAGTTGCCGTTTCATTTACCGTCAAGTTGTTGTATCATTTATGGTAACCTGAGTAGTTGAATGTTACGGAAACCCTATTATGATGTAATCGTTTGCATTATTCTGGGAAATTTTCAATCATGGGATGTTTTGCAAGGGCTTTTGTGGTGTGTTGCTTAGGAAGTACATTGCTTGTTTCACAGCTTAGATGGTACAATGGCTGAATGTAGTGGGATTAATTTTAAGTTTCTGTACGATATGGAATGAAAGGGGAAAAGTGCATTAATTGACTGGTGTGTAAATAAAGATTTACTTAGTAGACACAGTCTGGAACTACGTAGTATATTTTTTAGTCTTATTTTTGTGAATTTCTGTGGCGACACCAATATACGGATTGTAGTTCAGCATCCAAGTTTTTGGATGCTGTTAAGGAATTTTGTTTGCCAAAGACTGAAGACGAACGAATTTCTAAATAAGATAAGGGAATATTTGCTTTGTGTAGTGCTAAAATACATAACAGTTTTTTCCTTTTTTTGTGTTATTTTATTGTTTGGTTTAAAATGTAACTTATTGAGATTATGTATTTTTTTGTTTGCCTCTACTGTAGAATGGGGTGCTCCTTTGACTTTTTAAGTGAAAATAGTGTGTACATGGACAAACTCAAGGGAGTGCATAAAGCATAGTTTGTGCAATTCTCTGATGTTTTTTAAGCGAAAATAGGTCGATGTGTACATGGATAAAATCAAGGGAGTGCACAATACCATTTTTGTGCAATTCGGGGAATTTTTTTAAGTGAAAATAAGTAGATGTGTACATGGATACCGAGTTTGTGTATTTTTTTGACTTATTTTGCCTTGCATAGCGGCAATTTTTGTGCCAAAAATCGCCACTACGCAGGCCAAACTAACAAGTCAAAGAATTGCATAAACTCGGCATCCCATGTACCGCCAAAAATTGCCAAGGTTAGCCAAGGGGTACCCTAAAATATACTTTTACCTTAAGGTCTTTCACTTCAAAATCATGGCTTCAAATGACTACAGAAAGATATCTGACTTCTAATTCCACAAATTTATTTAGGTCAGAAGAGTATTCTTACCCCAAATTTGACTCC